GTAGAAAAGGTCTAGGATATATCTTTCAAATCCTGCTCCTTCTTAACAGCTTTCTTCAGTAAGGGCAAACTTTTCTGCATGCTGCTCCCAATAACCTTCAGCATTCCTCCCCACGTTGGGAGTGCCTGTCTTTTACAAAACTCTTCTATAAGAAAGAAAAAGGCAAATGTGTTACACCAGCAAGGCAGTCTGCAAAGGGCCTGCCTTCTTGCTTTCACAGGGCCTTTACTAAGCAGCTGCTATTCGCCCTCCACGTTTATCAGCATTAATTCACTGAACCAGATGAAAAGAGTGCATGCCTGGGACAGCCCTGATTTAGCAAGGGGGATGCACAACACAAGTTTAATCTTACTGCAAATCAGCAGAAATTTTACAGAGCATATATAAACGTGGATCTTTACGTGTTTCGCACATCTTTAAAGGTAAACTGTCCCACAGATTTTTTTAAAAAACCCATGTAGTAAAAATTCACTCTTCTCAGCATTTGAAGTCTGTTAAAACATTTTCCTCATCCTTTCACACAGTACTTAGGTTCCACCTAGTGGCTTTCAACAGCAATAAACAGAAGGCTAGACGCATTTTTATTTCCTAAATGCTTAATTTTCAAAATCTGTGTGTCTAGTTGCAGAAATATTCATAGAGTCTTCTTTAGACATATACTTTATCTTGCCATCTCCCTAAAAATTCTCTTGGCCCTATGATGGGAATTTTCCAGCTACAGTTGTTCTAGTTTAAACATCTAAAGCAAAAGGGTATTCAATGAAACCAAAGCTCATTCCTGTGCAAATGAGACTGAGAGGATGGGCTAGTTAAAAGCATTAGCAGCTTGCAGACAGGAGCTATGTACTGCTGTTGTGTCCCTCCCCAGCCAGGTCTCAGCAGGGTATCTGCTCCCTGGCAGAACTTGGTTGGTACAAACCCGTCATGCCCAGCGGGATGTGTCGTACTTAACTGCTGACGTTTTCAGCATTGACTGCTTTCGAAGTCAACGGAGAAATAAGCACTTCTAGACCATCATTCAGATGGCTTATTTTAGAGGTTTACCTTCAGGTGAGATGAATTGCATCCTAGAAGTGTCTCATTTCCATTACAAACAGAAGGAAGAGGCCTTACTGATAGCATGGTACTTCCATCACACATCTTGAATCCCACCCAGGGTGTCTGACTAAGACTGTCTGCTACACAGCATTTGAAGTGTAGCCCACCTTGCAGCGTCTAAGCAGGCAGCAAAAGGAATCTGGAAGCCGGGCAACCACAGCAGTTACAGACTTTGCACCTAAGTTAAAAAAACCCACAGTGACAGGTAGCCATACTATCACCAAAAACTTCATTTAAACGCTGTTCTATTCTCAGAAATCGTCTCACCCTGCTGCTCCACTCTGTTAGACTGATGAAGGTAGGTTTGTCTTAGAGCAGGAAAAGTGTAAGACAGTTCTGCTCCTACCTACTTCAAGGTTATAAAACAAGCTATACTTCAGTTCTCTGAGGCATTAGCAGAGCACTCACCACAGACATTTTAGCCCTCTTTGGAAGAGCTTTACCAGCTCTAAAGAGTCATTATCTTCAACGGGAAGGGAAGAAAAGCAACCATCAAAGAAATGTGAAACTTCATGAATTTATCAGCTGACACATTACGGGTCAAAAGCAGGTATTTTAAAGTGATTTTAGTGTCTTGCGTAAACAACAAGACAGAGTTCACCAGAACCGGTCTAGTTTGTCCACAGAGATCATATCCATTTAAAGAGAAGGTGAAATAAAAAAAAAAAAGGGGGGGGGGGGGGGAAGTTGACCTAGTTCATGATTTGTGGAGTGTGGGATGGATGAAAGGTCTTTAACTCCTTAATGCAGCTTTTTCTGTCCTCATTTCAAGGAGCTTTACTTTTGATCACACACAGTTTGAGGCTTGCACGCAGCAAATCATGTCTGCTTTTCTAGAATATGACTCCAGCATGCAGCAGAACTGCTCAGATTTATTACTCCATAGCAGTGCCTCTCAATTTCCTCTCCACAGCTTACCTTTTCACCTTCACCTAAACTTTCATGAAGGAGGGCTACATGTGACAGACTGGCTCTTTTATGCAAAGAAAAGAAGAAAACCTTCAATGGTTTCAAACTTCCTTGCTCTGTAAAAGCAAAAAGAGAAACTAAGGCTGCACGATGCCTATCTTGTCTTTGGATTCATATCCTAGTCAACCTAGGCTTGTGGTTTATTTGCAAGGTAACAAAAACCTGTTTTTCTGTAACAATTATTTCACAAAACCTGAGAAGATTTACAACACCATCCTGATTATAATCTCTCAATTTAAACTTTTTTTTTTCCAATTTGCACAAAACCTTATGTGGTACAGCCTTACCTTCCAAAATCTTGATTCAGCTCCCACCATGGGGAGCAACTGCTCCTCCCTTCACAGCACGGAGGACTCTTCTAGACAGCCTGGGGGCTTGGAAACAATCCCTGAAGCAAACCTCTTGCAAGCCTCAATTTGCCACTGCAATTCTCACTTTAATGTCGTTTAATTCTCAATGAATGAAGATGCACCTGCTCTCTGATAAAGGGGGGAGGGGATGTCCCCTTGGTTACCCTCAGCTGATGCCCTACAGCTGAGCATGCCATGCCGGCTGGGTTGGGATTTGGATTCACACACAACTCTGCCGCGGGTAGCTTTTCCCACAGAGGAAATGGGTATGGGGGACAATTTCGGGGCCTGACTCTGAGCTGGGGGTGTCGCAGGCGAATGGCCCCCAGACTGACCGCCGGGGCCTACCAGCCCTGGCCTACAGGGCCCTCCCTGCAGGGCGGTGAGGAGGCCCGGCGGGGCTTCCACAGCTTCGCCCGGCTTGCGCCAGCAAGGGAAAAGGCCGGGGCGGAGGGAGAGGGGAGGCC